GAATAAATCTTGTTACCTGGCCATGTGAGTCCTCCAGGTTTGTTCTTCCTCAAGATTATCTTGTCTATTCTTCATTCCTATTACATTTTTATACAAATTTGAAAATAAAATTATTATTCTCTCTCTCAAAAGAAAACTCCATCTACCAAAACAAAAACAAAAAGTAATCCCTGCTGCTTATTTGAGTCAGATTATACTGAATCTATAAAACAATTTAGAGTGAATGTATTTCTTAGCCATATTGAATTTTTAAATTGATGAATGGGTATGTACTTCTATTTCTTTATCTTTGATTAATATTTTATAATATTCAATGTAAAGATTATACATATCTTTTGTGAGAGTTGTTTTCCTTATCCATTTGCTATTTTGCTATTCTTGGAAATAATATCTTTTGAGTAAGTGCCACTTTAATGTATTTATTGCACCCATTTAGAATATAATTTCTTCTTCTAAGGCATATTGACCTACTATTCAGTACATTCTCACTTCAAAAGTAGCATGTGTAGTATGATCCTGTTTTTATTTCTATCACACTCTTAATTTAGTTATTGAGAGAAAGAGGAAGAGTTCAGAAAAGATTTTCATCTAAACTCAATGACAGTAAGTCTTGGTTGTAATGTTTCGCTTGCTTTTACTTTTTAAATTAAAATGTACTTGTCTGTATTTCTGAATTCTTGAAGAGTGCATATTACTATTACAAAGCAAAAAAAAAAGTAAAGTACAAATTTAAGATTTAAATTAAAGAAAATGAACCAGGTGTAGAGTGGTCTTGTAGTTTGCATGGTATTTCAATGAATCTCTTTGGCTGTCTATACATAACCATACTCCAAGTAATTCCTAATTTTTGTTTGGAGAATGTGTGATAAACAATTTACTCAAATTTGTCTCTTTGAGTTGATTAACTTTCTTTGGATAAAAAGAATCGAATCAGAAAAAAAAGAACTCCACAGAATTAGAAGAGTCATATTTAGTTTGTTAGAAGCATTTCCCAACTCTCATCCATAGAGAAAGCTCAGCATGCAATACGATAAGAGATTTCAACTTTCTGGGGTTGGGGTGGGGGTGGGAATAGAACAATAACATCAGAAATTGCTGAAACCTTTTTTTCATTTCAAGCTCTTCCCCCATTAGGTTCACAAACAGGGATTCATACACAGGTAGTGAAGGAGATCTCTCTTGCTTCTACCGAAGGTCTTGCTCCCATTTGCTACTCACCTGGTCGTCTCTGTTTAAACATTTTGGAGTGTCACTTCTCCTCAGAATCAGGTGTGTGCTGTTAATCTGATCATTTTAAATGATGAGAAATCTGTAGCTCATAGAGCATTAGAACTTGTGCCAAATCACATGGTTGGCGTGTGAGGAGTCCGCAGGAGGGCCGGTCAGTTATTGGTCTAAATGGCAGTGCTCTACTGCCACCTTTTGGGAAAATAGGGTTTGTTACAAGTCCTAAGAGTTGACAATGGCTAAAGTTAGGCTTTAGGAAGTGCCTGTAGCAGATGAAGTAAATGTCTTACAAGTCAAGCTAAGATTTTTTTTGTATTATAACTCACAGGAGGCAATTGTTTTTAACAGGTTGGGGTTAAATGATTATAGAATGGAGGCGGGATTATGATTGAGAGAAGAGAATGGAGGTAATATCTGAGAAGAATATAAAAATAACCCACTAGAACAGGATAAGGACTTAGAGTCAATGAATATTCATGGATTACTTATACTTAGGGTGAAATAAGAAATACATAAAAGTTGTGTATTGAAATTGAGTGTGAGAGAAAAGAGAGAAAGTAGGACATTGACTTTCATTAAATCAAAACACGTGGAGGAGCACATTTGGAAAAAAAATAGAATTTACAATCAAGATATCTAGTATCTGGTACTAAGTATATGGGTAAAGTCTTATGTGAATATGCAAGTTATAAATGTATAGACAGTAGAATAATTGCAGATGTGAATGGCATCATCAAGTAGAGCAGATGGGGAAAGAGAAGACAGTAATGATAAAAACCTGGGACTGATCATTAATTAGAGAATACAAACTAACTGGAATATGATGGGGGAGTTCAAAATTCAAAACAGCTGCCGGAGCTAGAAAAGCTGCAGGGACTCTCCACAATAGCTAAAACATGGAAAGAGCCTAATTGTCCATCAACAGATGAATGGACCAAGAAGATGTGGTTTATCTATACCATGGAATACTCCATGGCAATGAGAAACAATGAAATCTGGCCATGTGTAGCAACATGGATGGACCTTGAGGGTGTTATGCTGAGCGAAATAAGTCAGGCAGAGAAGGACAAATATCATATGTTTGCACGTATAGGAGGATTAGGAGGAACTTGACGGAGGAACAAGGGGGAGAAGAAGGGCGGAAACGGTGGGGGAAAGGGAGAGAGGCAAACCATGAGAGACTCTTGAATGCTGACAAAAACTGAGGACTGATGGGTGTGGGGGGGAGGGGGGGATGGGCATGGAGGAGGACACTTGTGGGGATGAGCACTGAGTGTTATGTGGAAACTAATTTGACAATAAACTATTTGTAAAAAAAAAATAATAATAAAAAATAAAATTTCCTTAAATTTAAAAAAAAAAAAAGAAAAGCTGCAGGGAAGATCCCTTAATACTGACAATGAGAGCACGTGTGCAGCAATGACTAGTTTCAGAGACTGCACTGAAAGGAGGGGAGTCTTGGATTTGGATAAATGCGCTGCCCTCCTTTCCTTCTTTGGAAAAGTCTACTGTCAAAGAACAGAAAAATATCAGTATTAAAGTCCTTTTTACTTTTGTGTATACCACATTGAAGTAAATATTTTCTTATGCATTGAAAAATTTTGAATTATTACAGAATATGAGTCTTATCCTTTGGAATTCTTAGAAAAAGGAGAATAATGACAACTAAGTCATTCATAGGTCAAGTCATACATTGCCTAATGTACTCTAGACTTCAGAAGGCATCAGAGGAAAACCTAACTCTAATGATATGATAAAAATGAAGCTGACTTCTACCATCAGATAATATGTAGAAACCAGATATACCTCCTACTTGAAAAGACAACAAAAAATTGGACAAAATATATGAAACAATGATACTGGACATCAGGCACTGAAGGATGCCAGATCCTGAGAGATGGGAATGAACATGGTGAGTTCTATGATTGGCCTTGATTCCAGCATTGTGGGAGATTCCCAGAAGAGGAAAGAGGAACCCAGATGGAGAAAGTGGATTCCCAAATTCAGGAAACAGAGCTGAGAGGAGAGAGACCAATGTGGCCATAGTTTGCAGGACAACAGCATGAAAGATTTGAACAGCAAGCTCAGCATACCACTGAGGAAAATACCCAAAGCCAGGAAAGAACTACCAGAGAGAATTAGAGGTGACAGAACCCAGATCTCATATAGGGTAATAGTGGCTGTTCTTGTTAGCCACACTAGAAAACTTATAATTCAGGGAATGTTGAGTAGAGTACCCAACAGGAGTTTGCTTCAATAATGATGAACAATATGGAAGCCACTTAGTGGATACTGCACTGGTCCCACCTAAAAACTCTTAAAAATAATATTCCAGAGGATCAGACTGTTTCCAAATAATCGGTCTGTGTCTCAGACAAAACTCAAGATTATTTTCAGAAATATCAAAATATTTGGAACAAAACAAGATAAAATTCATAAAATTATGAATTCATAAATTCATTCACAAAAATTTATATCCTAAGGTATCATCCATAGTGAGAAGAAAATCAACCATCCCAGAATTGATACAGATATTATAATTAGCAGTCATAAAAATAGTTATTATAACTATATTCCAGATGTCAAAAAAGTTAGAAACATGAAAGGTAAATCAATCTTGTAGAGATAAAAATTAAAATGTTGGAGATGAAAAATCTACTGTGTGAGACTCATGGCGGTTTAATCATTACAGAAGAAAAGATTTGTGAACCTGAAACCAAGGCAATAGTGTTAGAATATGATCCTCCCTGGAGTTCTTGATGTTCCTGCATGACCCAGGACTTAGAGCAATGGAAATGGACACACATAAAGATAGAGTCTATTTCATTCCCTTGGAGCCATTTTCATAGTCTAGGCCAAAGGTGATTTTTTCCTTTATACTGGAGCCCTGTGTCTACCTTGTAATTAGCATAGTAGTTAAGGTCAAAGAGCTAACAGACCAGATAAACACTGACCACAGTCTTACAAGCATATTCAGAGGCAGAAGAAATGCTCTTCCCAAGCCCACAGAGAGCAAGGTGGCCTAGGGGAAGAGAGCATATTAGTGTCTATTAGTCTTCTCTCCATATTAGGAATGAATATATACACAGAAGAAATATAGCCCAGAGAAGAACATGTCCCAATAGGTTCCAGAGGTTAAAACATGTCAAGATACTTTTAAAAAACCAGTGGAACATTCATGGATATCACTGATGTAGGCCTCCATTTATGGAGAAAAGTGGGGCCAGTGGAAATGTTGGGTCTTGCAGATTCAAGCCAGATGTGTGTAAATGCCTCTGTTTCAAGGCTGAGTCTAAAAGTGAGGCTGTTTAACGAGGAGTTTGCAGCAAGTGGGCAAGAGGATTGGGCAGGAAGAGCTGCTCCATAGTTCCTAGTTATTGGTGTTTAAGAAATGCCATAGGAATATGGAAGAAATTTCTGTTGTGTTCCTTGGAAGACAACTTGGAGCATTAATGTAGATGCCTTCACTGTTCACAGTATCAAGAAGCTGATGAATCCCACTCTTTGTCCTTGACCTTTGGCTCAAATGTTCACTTTGTTCTATTTCTGAGAGTTGAGACACAGATCTGAGAACCAAGTTAAATCAGACTTTCAGAAAAGTGTATTTATTAGAATGTGGAAGGCAGTGAATCAATGAGGGAAGAGGTCTAAAGAAGGAACCTTCAGTTATCTGATACAAGCTCAGCAGGGGCAGGTCTCTGTCACTATCAAATGCAAGTAAGAACTGTCATCATAGAAAAAAGATATCTTCTTTGACATCCAAGTTCACTCAGCTAGCATTTTCCATCCTTTTGAAACCTAATCTTCCCATGAGATTTCCTAAAGGCAAGAATCAGAATCAAGATTTCATTAATAAAATGTCAGAGCTACAAAAACATTTTAAAATTCTCTTATCTACCACCCTTATTTTATATTTAAGGAAACTAAGAGCCAGAGCATAAAGGGAATTGACTACGTACAAAAGCCAGGTTATTGGATTTTTCTACCCAGTTATGCTTCCATGATTCTAAGATGCTGCAGAAGATATTATGGCCTATACTTCAGTCTCTTTGAAAGTAAGTTATTTGGGGCAGGGGGTGGTGCCTGGGTGGCTCAGTCGGTTGAGCGTCCAGCTGCTTATTATTTCAGCTCAGGTCATGATCCCAGGATCGTGGGCTCAAGCCCTGCTTTGGGCTCTGTGCTGAGCGTGGAGACTGCTTAATATTCTTTTTCCGTCTCCCTCTGCCCCTCTTCCCTGCTCTCTCGCTCTCTCTCTCAAATTAAAAAAAGAAAGAAAAAGAAAGAAAGAAAGAAAGAAAGAAAGAAAGAAAGAAAGAAAGAAAGAAAGAAAGAAAGAGAGAAAGATAAAATAAGTTATTCAGTTAGGTCTGAGCTTGTGATCTATAAAGTGTAGCAGTTCTCACCTTATTCTGTTAACACTCTCACACTTTGGCCCAATTCTTCATTAGCCAGGATGACGTAGAGTTTACACATTCCTGACATTGATACTCATATAAAATTACAAAATGATTTTGGGTTGAGGGCTCCCCTGCGATGCCACGAGGAGCATTTTAGTCCCCGTGAATTGCACTGGCTTAAACAGAGATCAAACCTGAGGGTGTGGTTTTGTGAGATCTCAGTGTCAAATCACTGATAGTCAGGTCCATCCCATAAATCAAAAGACCTAAGCAGGGACTCTTAGCAAAAGAACCCACACCTTGCAGTCACCCCATCCTAGCTCAGAGTTTCAGACATATAAGAGATTAAAAGTATCTGAGAGAAGGCAAACCATAATTTGTCTTCAAATCGAAGAATTTCAGGACTCAAAGGAATAACTGAAGCTTCACGTGGCATAGGGGATTTGATCCATCACTTGGCATATGGGAATGTGAGGCCTCAGACAGAAGGCCCTGAAACACCACAGAGTACACTGAGTCTGCTTTCCACTCCAGTGGGCTTTTTTTTTTTTTTTTTTTTTTATCACATGCTCTTCTGAGTGGGGACTGATTATTATCTCTGCAAACTGCAGATTCCTGACTGTGTGGCTGATACACTCGGTAGGAGAGTTACATGGTAACTGTGGTGGACTAAGTTTGTCTTTGTTCTCTTCTTTCCCCCAAAATAGTATTCACATGCTCTGGGGGCACCTGGGTAGCACAGTCAGTTAAGCGTCCGACTTCTACTTCAGCTCAGGTCATGGTCTCGCAGTTTGTGAGTTCAAGCCCCACATCGGGCTCTGTGCTGACAGCTCAGAGCCTGGAGCCTCCTTCAGATTCTGTGTCTCCCCCTCTCTGTGCCCCTCCCATGCTCACGCTCATGCTCTGTCTCTTAATAATAAATTAAAAAGTTAAAAAAAAAAAAGTACTCACAAGCTCTCAACACACAAGATGCAGGGATTTTCATAGGTTACAAAATTAGTGCCACAGATGGGTTGATATAAACCAGGGCAGGGGTTCACCGTTCCAGTGAACCAACTCAAGTTTACTTTCTTATAAGGACATTTCACCTGAAATTGAGTTGAAAAGAATGATTAGAATCACACAGACAGGTAGGTCATGTCCGGGCTTGATTAGGAAAATCCAAACATAGTTAGCAGCCTATACAGTCACACGAAGCTCTTACAGCTGTCCTTCCACAAGCAGTGGAGGTAGAACCCAGGCTTATCCCTCCTGACAACCACGATGCCCTCATTGTGAGGACCTCCTGGTGGCAGCAGGGTACAGGGGCCTGCTACACCATGGTGGGAAAAGGAAGAGTCAATAAACAGGACGTATTTGTGACATTTAGCTTCTCTCTCAATCTCCTTCATTTCCAGAGTAATAGACATGGGAAAAGTCTTAGAGATTTCTGTGCCAATTGGGCAAAAAAACTCCTGAAAGCTCATAATTGGAAAAAATGCTTGACTCAAATTCATATGTTTTGATTTAAAATATTTATCATATTTCATCCACTCTCAAAATCTCCAAGTCAACTCTCTTCTTGAAGTTGTGAGACGTGAAAGCATGTAGCATAATGCCCTGGTTTTGTAGGGAAAACTAAAAACAGAAGAAGGGACATGTCTCGACAGGGATGAAAACCCACATCCAGTCCCAATGCTGGTGTCAGTGAAGCTCGAAGAAGTGAGTCTGGCTCGCTGGAACCTGAGGAGGAGGTGGTCTCAGGGACTCTACAAGTGTCATAGATAGATCGGTAATGTGCCCCTGATACAACGTGGGAGAGAGTTTTGGCTGAGTATTTAGAGAAAGAGGGATCATAGTTGAGCTTAGACACCCTTTTCCTCCTTTCCTTATCCAACACCACCACCACGGCCAGGCCACCATCATCTGCCTCCTGTATGTCTGCCACGCAACTAATCCCTCCACTTCCTCTATTCCCCTGCCAATTGTTGGTACTCAAACATTTTCTAGGCGCTATGAGGGGGGCGGTTATCTGGTGTCCAAATGACCAAATCTCATCTTGGTTCCCAGTTTGGATCACTCTAATTAGGGCTCCCGTGTCTGCAGTGTACCTGCCATGTTCATGTGAGTGGACTTTGGAGAACGTCCTACCTGAAGTAAGGTTCTAAAACAGCAAGTCCGAAGAAAACTCAGGTTAGACTCTCAATCCTGAGAAATATAGTGGAAGTTTACCTTAATAGCTCCATGTGGTGGCCACCATTGTCGAGGTTCTAAAACCAAGACATAAATGAAAATAGTTGCAGAATACACTATCTGGTAAATCATAGCTTAATCTGTTGGCAGAATTAAAGAATTCGAATTTATTGCCAAGAAAGTTTGCAAGAATAGAAAACTGTTTTATTTATTTTATTTATCATTTGTTTAGGTTTACTTATTTATTTTGAGAGAGCGAGAGAGAATGCGTGCACGCGCGCGAGGGAATCCCAAGCAGGCTCCACACTGTCAGCACAGAGCCCAACATGGGGCTTGAACTTACAGACTGTCAGATCATGACCTGAGCCAAAATCAAGGGTTGGACACTCAACTGACTGAGCCACCCAGGCACCCCAGAAACTGTTTTGTTTATACATGCATTCATTTTTTCCCTCAAAAAATGTGGAATAACTCTTCTACTCCTGATGCATGAGCAGCAAGCAATCACTGGTCTCCTCTACATTGCCAGTCTAGTATACCAAGTAAGTTTTTGATTAGTCATAATTAGCCTGGGCTTGAGAGGATCCAGAACAGGCAGCCAATATATAAGAGACATTAAGAAATGCTAGTACTTTAAAGAGGTCATTAGCCTAACCCCCATGTTTTACAGAGAGAGGTAACACACTTGCCACTACTCAGGACTTCATGGTAGATAGGTAAAACATCAAGGTCTTCAGTCCTTGAGGTTAGGTCTCTTTAAAACTCCCTAAAGGGGGGCACCCGGGTGGCTTAGTCGGTTAAGCGTCCGACTTTCGCTCAGGTCATGACCTCGCCGTTCGTGGGTTCGAGCCCCGCGTCGGGCTCTGTGCTGACTGCCAGCTCAGAGCCTGGAGCCTGTTTTAGTCTGTGACTCCCTCCCTCTCTGACCCTCCCCTGCTCACGCTGTCTCTCTCTCTCCTAGAAATAAATAAAATATTTGAAAAAAAATTTAAAAAATAAAAAAATAAAACTCCCTAAAGGGCTCTTCTCTAAAAGAGGACAAAAAGGTAACAACCCAAATTCATGGCTAAGCATTTTCAAAGGTTTTGCATTTTTGAGATGGGCTGGGATGTGGGTATATTGCTGATCACTTTCACATTCTACTTTGAATCACTCAAGCCCCCAGGTCCCGATGAATTAGGTTTCATAATCTGCCCTAATAGATGGGGAAACAAAGGCCCTTGCACACTGGCTCAGGGCCTTTTTTGGAGGACCAACTGCACTCTCTCTCTCTCTCTCTCTCTCTCTCTAGATACAGATATAGTAAGATACACTTACATAAATAAATGCAAAATAATTCCAAAGCATTCTTTCAGATTACAATGTCAGAGCTCACTAATCAACCTTACATAAATGCCAGAATCAGCCAAATTACTCACCAGAAGGTAGTGCCCAATGTATGAGGATGAAGAACAAAAGTGAACAGAATATTGGATGACATTTGGTCATTTTTCCTCCTGGTGCATGTGTCCTTAGAGTACGATCACTAAAGCAGAGGTATTCAAGATATTAAGACCATCTTTGGAGTGAGTAGTCACCTCTGTGACCATGACCTCTGCCTGCCACACTTGGGAAGCCTATTATTCCACCTCTCCCCAAGAACAAATGCTCAGAAAAATGCTAAACTTGGTTAGTCATAAATAAAAGTACTCAGTGACAGACCTGTGATTACTTAGAAGGCAGAAGTCAATCAGAGATTACTCTTTGGGCATAATTATATTATTTTAGTCTGGAAGTATTTTAAGTGTGAAAGGCAACCCCTTACCTGAAGATTCACCCAAATTTGCTCTTTGAGAGGATACAAAGAAAATAAGGCCACTAGAGGCTTCCGGAAAACAAGAGCTTCTCAACAGAGGAAGCAAGGCCATACTTGCTCATGGAGCTGGGACTATCTCTTTGGAGTAAGACAAAGATTAGAATATTCCAGACATACTTGGCTGTGCTAGAATCTTCTGACGCGGAACGTCAACTCTCCTGGAGCACTTTGACAGAGTGCATAGGGAGAAATACCATTCCGCGCTATCTCATGGAGGCCCCAAAGTTCTTTTCATTTAGACATCCAGGAAGGGAGAAGTCAGTGAGCAAATCCTCCTGGGGATTACCTTCCCAGGAGGTAGCAGGCTTTCTGACCCTATGCCTGACCAAGGACCACACTGAATCCCCCTTTCTTTCTAATCCTATAGATGCCTTTTTCTCTGCTTTGTAGATATGTAAATAAGCAACTGAGCCAAACCATTTGCCATATGCTGAGGTGTGGTAGGTGCTATGTGAGACACGGCAGTGGCCTCAGGGTACTCCACTTCCCAAGATGGTTGCAGGTCCTTGGCGTGATGTCCAGAGCTGCCTACCCTGCCTGCTCCTGAGACCATCTGGGACATGTTTTTGCTAAGCACCCCACCCCTAGCCCCCCCATCTCCCACCCCCCTGTCTCTTCCTGACATCTTCCTTAGATTCCTTTGGGAATGGAGCGGCAACAGTGGAAGATCCAGCTGCACTAACTCAGGATGCCAGAGGCCCACCCCCCTACGACATGTGTCCCCTTCGACCCACCTTGGAAAGAAGAGAAAGGAAGAGAGAGGTGACATGCTCTTCTGCGGTTCCTGCCTCTTTAAAGAAGCAGGTAAATAGGCTTCTTCAGGAGGGGGTAGAATAGCTATGTAGGAGAGAGAAGTCACTGAGGCATTGTGTGCTGGGAAGAGCAGGCCCTGGAGGCCCAATATTCAGGGTAAATTAAGGTCAAGCCTCACCAGGAGGCATTGGGGGAAGGAAGCACAGAGCTGCCTAGATGAGCTGGGCAGTAGGAATGATCACTGGACAGGGGAGCGTTTGTCAGGCAATCTAAAAGGGGGATGGCATGAGGAAACATCCCATAGTAGGGGACAGCACAGAGAAAAAGCAAACTGTGTTCCATAGCGAGAATTAGTACCTTGGGCCAGCATGCAAAATGTGGAAACAGCTGAGTAAGGAAGGACGCTGGTGAGGAATGAGGTCCCGGGACGCCATCTGTAGCGAGTCCAGCCTGGTTCTTGAAGCAGTCCACAGCCTTTGCGGCTTTGTAGCATGGGAGATACGGGGTCATAGCTGAGTTTCCACCTGTTATCGGAACGCCCTGCCTTCATCTTCCTTTCTGTAAAGGACAATTGTTCTTGTTCTTTAAAAAAATTTTTTTAAATGTTTCATTATTTATTTTTGAGAGAGAGAAAGAGAGAGAAAGAGAAAGAGAGACAGAGTACGAATGGAGTAGGGGCAGAGAGAGAGAGGGAGACTGAATCCGAAGCAGGCTCTAGGCTCTGAGCGGTCAGCACAGAGCTGGAAGCCAGGCTTGAACCCACCGACCGTGATCCCGTGACCTGGGCTGAAGTCGGAAACTTAACTGACTGAGACATCCAAGCGCCCCCAAGGGCAATTGTTCTTATAACAAAGAAAAATATATCAACTTTAGAAAATTGGAAATATAAGGGCGCCCACGTGGCTCAGTCAGTTGAGTGTATGACCGGCTCCGGTCATGATCGCTCGGTCGAAGAGGTCGTGTCTCGTGTCGGTCTCTGTGCTGACAGCTCAGAGCCTGGAGCCTGCTTTGGATTCTGTGTCTCCTTCTCTCTCTGCCCCTCCCCTGCTTATGCTCTGTCTCTGTTTCAAAAATAAATATAGACATTAAAAAATTAAAAAAAAGAAAATTGGAAAAATAGAAATTAAAAAAAAAGAAGTAAAAAGATGTCAAAATCCAGACATAACTGTTAAACATATACTGAATTATATTGTCCCACTTTTTAAAAATCAAATTTTCAAATTGATTCCAATTTTCAATATTATTAATAATGCTAGAAGGAACAAATTTTTATTTACTTCAGTTAATCTATATCTTATTAAATAATTTTAACAAGTGCCAAAAAATATACCTACTGGAAACTTCCAGAAAGAACCTGAGTCACCTAGAATATGAAAGCGGTGGTTTTCACCCAATTAGTGAACCCCATGCTTGTAATCTAACATGGATCATTCTGAAAATACAAGACCACCTTACTAAGTGAATCATTTGTCCCCTCGTTCAGAGAAGGTAGAGGACTCCATTGCATAGAAAGGATTACAGAAGAAAATGTAAAATGTCATAGGAAAGTAATAACCATAAAACAGCTTTACTTTTCCATACTCCCCCAAATTCCCGTTGAACTAATAATATGGGGTGAAGAGAGTAAGATAAAGGGATCACATCCCACTCAGAAAATCCTTAGTCTATGACTTCCTCATCATCGATCATACTCGTGGCTTAATTCTAAAAAAATTTTAATGTCTTAATTTTATTTTTGAGAGAAAGAGATTCAGAGAGAGAGAGAGAAAAAGAGAGCAGCAGCAGGTGAGAGGCAGGCACAGAATCCAAAACAGGTTCCAAGTTGTCAGTACAGAGCTTAAGGCAGGGGTTCAAACCCACCAACTGAGAGATCATGACCTGATCTGAAGTCAGACACTTAACCAACTGAGCCACCCAGGCGCCCACTCCTAGCTTAACTCTAAAACTTATAGCCTGGGGCTTTTCCTTGGATGGGAGGCTCCTGTTCCTACCTTTGTTTCATGTCACTTCAAACCAACATTTTAAAAAACCAGCTCATTACAAGTGTAGTCCAAAGCTGATGCTTATCACCTTTCAGGGATACCAAAATCCTCCACCGGATTTAACCTGCAGCTCCACTGTCCTCCTGCAGAAAGGAAAGTTAGCTCCACGGCCCAAAGTACAGAACTTGCATAGTCTAGCCCATTCTGTTAACCAATCAATCATATTCCCACCAGAGCATGGAGCTGCCTGCCCTTAGTCCCCAGCAGCTGTCCCTCCCTCACAGAGCAGCCGCCACACAGCTGTGAGTTCAACCCCAGGCTAGAGGACAAAGTCTTTCCCTTCTCAGGGATTTCATGGAAGCCAGAGGACAGCATTAGCATTTTCCCCCCGTGCTGCAATGCGTTTGTTATGTGCCCAAAAAACGACACCACAGATTCCAGCACACATCTGTGGGACAGTGTGGCCTTGCCTGCATATACTACAATGAGGTAGAGACTTCACACAGCTCCGCAAAACCCACAGAGTGGCTGGGACATGAACAATGCCACGTCAGCTGTGCAGGCTGGAGCTGGGGTATGACACTGGTTCTTTGGCACACAGCTTCCCAAAGAGGAGCGAGCGGGTTTTTTGTTTTGTTTTTTTAAAAGAAGAAAGAAAAAGTCAAGTTTTCCACTCCAGTAGCGTCCTTCATTCATTTCTCAACTGAAAGAAATAAGGAAAGTGTACTTGTCCCCTCTGAGAGGAAGGACTCCTAGGAGGCTTCATCCGCCCCCACCAAAAAGCAGCCTTTTTTTTTTTTTTTTTTTTTAGCTCAGTTACAAAAGAAAGAAGTCCTGTGACTTTGGGATTAAAAACTTCTATTAACCCTCCCCCAACCCCCCACATAACTGCAACTTAAGAAGGTATAATACACTACTTAAAACTATATACAGCAGGGGCGCCTGGGTGGCTTAGTCGGTTGAGTGTCCGACTTTCGCTTAGGTCATTATCTCGCGGTTCGGGGGTTCGAGCCCCGCGTCGGGCTCTGTGCTGACTGCCAGCTCAGAGCCTGGAGCCTGTTTCAGTCTGTGACTCCCTCTCTCTCTGACCCCCTGCTCATGCTGTCTCTCTCTTTCTCCTAAAAATAAATAAAACATTAAAAAAAAAAACAATATGTGTCATGAAAACAGGTTTTCAAATCAAGTATTACTAGCATTATTAATTCTGGATAAATATACTTGTTTTAAGGCACAGGATATGTTCCATCTTGGTAATTTTTTTCTTTAATATACATATTTAGTAATATAAATTTTACCCTAACTGCTGCCTTAGGGAGAATTCCACAAAAAATATAACTCTCTTTCCTTTTCATTCTCTTCAAAATACTTTAGCTTCTCATTTGATTTCTTCATTGACTCAGGGTTTATTTATTGGTGTGATGTTTACTTTCCAAATATTGGGGATTTTCCAGAGATTTTTTTGTTTATTTTTTTGTTTTCTTATTCAATTCAGATACAGTCAGAGGACAAAGGCCACTGTGACTTGAATCCTTTTAAGTGTATTGAAATTTGTTTTGTGGCCAAGAAAGCGGTCTTTCTTGGTAAGTATTTCATGTGTACTTGAGAAGGAAGTTACACTGTTCTTATGGGGAGCAGTGTTCTCAGGTCACGTGCTTATCAATCAGATCACCGGGTTGATTGTATTACTCAATTCTGCTTCACAACTGCTGATATTCTACCTACTTGTTTTATTAACTTTTGAGGGATGGATATTGAATATAATATAATCTCTGCTCATAATCATGAATTTGTTTATTTTTCTGTGCACTTATATTCATTTTAGACTTGTAAATCTTGAAGTTCTGTTATGAGTTTCATAAACACGTAAGATTTTTATATCCTCTTAATTCATTGAGAAT